GCCATGGGGGACATGAAGACCCCAGATTTTGACGACCTCTTGGCGGCCTTTGACATCCCTGATATCGACACCAGCGAGGCCATCCATTCTGGCCACGAGGAGGCAGAGACTCACATCAGGCCCGTCCCCATCGAGGCGGCCGCCCCGGAGCACATCCTTCCGCATGCAGACATCACCACCGTCAGCGTCATCGTGAAGAACACGGTCTGCCCCGAGCAGCTGGAGCCTGCGGACGGGCGCCTCAAGGACGGCCACCCGATGGGCTCCCGCTTGTTGCAGAACGGTTTTGTGGCTCCCGAGGTGCCTCGCGCCTCCCCGGTCTCCTCCGCGGAAGCCGTAGCCCCCGCGAATGGGGAGTGTTGGGCCCTGAAAGAGAAGGCGTCGAAGAGCCTGGATATCTTTTCTCCCTTCAGCCCTGAGCCTCACAAGGAGGGCGAGACAGACCTCATCGACCAGCCACGGGGGTGCAAGGTGAAAGAGCAGGGCCTCTCAGGGCCAGCCATCTCCCCAACGCCCATCTTGTCTTCTGCCTCAGCTTTGGACTGCCCCGAACCCGTTCGAGAGAGCCTTGGGCCACCACCACCTCCGGCCTTCCCTCCGTCTTTCGAAGCCTGTCCAGCTGGTGGAATTGGCCTCTCTTTAACTCCTCCTCCTCCTGCTCCTCCTCCTCCTCCTCCTCCTCCTGCTCCTGCTCCTGCCGCCATCCCAGCTCCTCCCGTGATCAAGCAGGAGGTTGACTGCGAGATGCCTTGCCAGGAGTCCAGCCCGCTGAGGCATCCGAAGTCTGCTTCGTCCTGCTACTCCGCGGAGACGTCCCCCAGAGTCCCCTGGCCGGGCTCAGATGCAAACCTCGCGGGCGAGCTGAGCGGCATTCCTGACATCAAGAACGCGCTCTCCAGCCCTCAGGATCACCTTTTCCAAAGCTCCCCACAAAAAGGTGTAAGCCCGGGGCCCTTGGCCTCCCCAAAGCACGCTGGCGACGGAGCCCTGAAGGAAGAGCCGGTGGAAAAGCCAGTGCAGTGCCCGCCAGTTCCTTCAAGTGGGGGAGAAGAGGAGGAGGAGGGGGAGGGGGAGGAGGACCACGAGGACCAGAGCACCGGTTCCCCCTCATCCAGTTCTTCACGACCCCTCAAGGTGAGGATCAAGACCATTAAGACGTCATCTGGAAGCATCACCCGGACAGTGACGAGGGTCTCGTCCGACTCTGAGGCCGGAGCCGCCAAGCTGTCTTTGGAACACAGCGGGCCAGAGACCCCAGTGGCGGAGGAGGCGCTGGTCCCTGCCGTCCCCCAGAAAGAGGAGGCGGCTCCAGAGAACCCTGGCCTGAAGGCCGTGGCCGCCAGCCCGGTGAAGGTGGTGGAAGGCCCCAAAGTGGTCAGCGTGCAGCTGGGGGACGGGACCAAGATCAAGGGGACGGTGCTGCCGGTCTCCACCATCCAGAACGCCAGCAGCGCCATGCTCATGGCTGCCAGCGTGGCCCAGCAGAAAGCGGTGGTGCTGCCCAGCAAGGCTTTGACCAAGAACATCATCAGCTTGGTGCCCCAGGCCCTCCCCAAGGTCACCGAGGTCAGGAGCGGGGGGGCGGCCCAGGCAGTCCCCACCCCCGCCAGCCAGAAGGTCAACGGCACCACGGTGGTGGTGATGCAGCCCCAGAAATCCTCGCCGCCCGTCGCCGGCACGGTTATCTCCCGCAGCCAGTCCAGCCTGGTGGAGGCCTTCAACAAGATCCTCAACAGCAAGAACCTGCTGCCCACCTACAAGCCAAACCTGCTCCCTCCCGCCGAGGCCAGCCTGACCCTCCCGCCGCTCGGCTACCGCTGCCTGGAGTGCGGCGACGCCTTCGCGCTGGAGAAGAGCCTGGCGCGGCACTACGACCGCCGCAGCCTGCGGGTGGAGGTGACCTGCAACCACTGCGCCAAGCGGCTGGTCTTCTTCAACAAGTGCAGCCTCCTCCTCCACGCCCGGGAGCACAAGGACAAGGGGCTGGTCATGCAGTGCTCCCACCTGGTCATGCGGCCCATCGCCCTCGACCAGATGATCGGCCAGCCGGACATCGCCCCGCTGGTCTCCATGGCCTCCTTGAACGCCAGCAAGACGGCCTCCCCTGCCGGCATCACGCCTGATTCGGGGGTGGCCAATGGGGCCGCCGCCCAGGAGCTGCCGGTCCTGCCTTTGAACGGCAGTGCCGAACAGCCAGCCACCAACTCTTGCCAGTGCCTGGAGTGCAAAGAGCAGTGCAAGGACAAAGCGGGCCTGGCAGCTCACTTTCAACAGACCGGAAGTGCGACCTCCACGGTAAATGCCCAGAAGGGGGAGAGGGCAAGGTAGGCTGTGTGGCTGGGGTGCCCTGGTTGGTTGGGACCTCAGCGCCCACCGTCCTTTTGACGTACCAGAGGGGACTGACGGGAGTTGAAGTCCAGCTCCCCTGGAGGGTACCAGGTTGCCAACCCCTAGCTCTAAGCCTGTTTTTGCAGGGGTATCGGGTGGTGGAAATCTCACTTTGGGAAGATCTTGTACAGGTAGTCCTTGCTGAGCGACTGCCTTGTTTAGTGACTGTTCGCAGTTACAACAGTGATGAAGAAGTAACTTTGCAACCAATCCTTGCATTTACAACCTTCTCAGGTCTGTAAAGCAAAGGAAAGCTGAAGTCAGATCATAAACACAGTTGCAGTTTTACTTAGCGGCCACTTCACTTAACGACCGAGTTGCCAGTCCCAGTTGTGGTTGCTAAACAAGGACGACCTGTACGTTGAAAGGTCCCATATCAGGAGACAATCTAGAGCTGAACTTCTTCCTTTTGCAACCTGCCAAGGAGGCAGTTCACACCAGGGCACAGGATTCCACGTGGGGGTAAAGCCCTTCCAGGGAAGCAGAACGAAGGTGGGCAACCCAAACCCAGGGCAGGGCTCGCTCTGCTGGTCCACGGAGATCTTCTTTCCCATTAATGAAGGAACCCCCTGTGTTTGCACCTCCCTCTCTGCTTCCCCCAAGGTGTGCAACAGCTGTCCGATGATCATGGCTAACCGCTGCAGCTTCAGCGCCCACCAGCGCATGCACAAGAGCCGGCCGCCCCACGTCTGCCCTGAGTGCGGGGGGAACTTCCTCCTGGCCAACTTCGACGCACACCTGAAGGACGCCTGCCTCCATTTCTCCCGTAGGATCGGCTACAGGTAGGGTTGGGTGGGGCCTCGCCGCCTGCCCCGGTGGTGTCGGACGGCAGTCGAACGGTGCGGAATTCTTCTCTCTGTGACTTTTCCTTTGGGGCCTGGCAAACGGTGTGGACTCAGCCCTTGTGGCTCGATCCGCAGACTCTCTCAGCGTCCACTTACAGCGCTTAAAGAGCTGCCCGTTGTGTGTTTCGATCCAGGCTGGACGTTGGGCCCTCTTCCTCCCTCTGGAACAGTCTGCAGGGAGGCAAGGGCCGAGCAATTACTCGGTCCGTCCACTCACACACCCCTTCTGTGGACAGCCTGTCATTTTTTCGCCTTGCTTTTCAAGGGAAGGAGGTGAAAGCCAAGCGGGGGCTTTCTCCTTTGCCAGCTTTTATCAAGGCCCCTCTTTGCCAGGGGAAAGGGAGCGACTTGGGGGCTGCGTCCCCTCCCCCACCTTCTGCCCCAGCTCTCTCCAGCCCTCCAGCAAAGGCCACAGAGCTGTGTTTGTGTGTGTGTGAGGCAAGGGGCAGCGGATCTCCCTGCTGCAGAAGCGGCTGCGTGGGGGAAGCCTGTCCTGAAACCCCTCCTTGCCCTGCTCTACTCTCCTCCCAGGTGCCCGAGCTGCTCTGTCGTGTTTGGAGGTGTGAACTCCATCAAGTCCCACATCCAGACGTCGCACTGTGAAGTGTTCCACAAATGTCCCATCTGCCCCATGGCGTTCAAGTCGGCCCCCAGCGCCCACGCGCACATCTACACCCAGCACCCGGGCTTTAGCAACCAGCAGTCCAAGTAAGAGGCCGGGCCAGCCGCTGTTACGTCTCTCTGCCTGTCCTGGCTCAGCCCAGGAAGGGCAGAGGGGTGCCAACGGGCACGGCAGCTGCACCCACCAGCCGCGAGAGTCCCTCTGGTTCTTCCGCAGCCACCCTCTCTTACACCCCTGTCTGTCTGCTCCTCAGAATGATCTACAAATGCGCCATGTGTGACACGGTCTTCACCCACAAGCCTCTGCTCTCCTCTCACTTCGACCAGCATCTGCTCAACCAGAGGGTGAGCGTGTTCAAGTGTCCCGGCTGCCCTCTGCTCTTCGCCCAGAAGCGGACGATGCTGGAGCACCTGAAGGTGAGCAGGAGACCTGCCCTGGGAAGGGGGGTGCGCAGCTCCTGTATTTACCTGCTTCGTGTCCCCCCCCCCGTTTCAAATCAGGTTGTTCCCTTGAATCTTTCCTCTGGGGCTGCCCCTGAAAACATCT